GGAGGGAGGGGAGGGTGGGTGATGGGCATTGAAGGGGGCATTTTTGGGATGAGCACTGGGTGTTGTACGGAAATTAATTTGACAATAAGTTTCATATAATAATAATAATAATAATAATAATAGTAATAATAAAAAGACAGTTTCAAGTCCACACTAGGGGCCACTGGTCTGTGCTGTTTAGATCTCACCGGGGGAATTGTCTTAGATTCTGGTCCCTGTATTTTACTCCAGATATTGACAGAAACGGGGAGCACAAGGAATGACAGGAAAATGAAAGTTTAAACCGATGTAACCATGGTTGAGGGAACTGGGTTTATCCGTCCTGAAGGAGGATCTAATTTGGGGGTTTCAACTACAGGAGGAAACATCTGATCTTGTCAACACAGTTCCACAGGGAAGAGCTGAGACGGCCGATCAAAGCGGAACGGGATCCCGCCGGTCCCCACGTGGACCGCACTAACCTCTCTTCAGCGACACGCCCGCCTCAGTGTCGCCGTGACTGGCAAGCGCGCCGCGCCCCCTTCTCAGACCAGGCCGCAAGCGGTCTCTCTGCCACACCGGTCAGAAATTTCGCCCCGTGGGACTCCGCGGCCTGGGCCAGGCCAGAGTTAAACGAGTCACATCCCGAAGCTAATCGATTTAACTTGGAAAAAGGAACGGGCGTCAACGCCGACTTCACTAACGTCCTGGGACTCGACGAGCCCCCAAACGAACTCTTTCTGAACTCAGGGGGGCGGGACGGCCCCCTCCTCGCGGCCCGGGCCCAGCACTTACCGCCAGGTACTGCGGGGTGAGTCCGCCCAGGCCCGTCAGGTTCCCCCAGGTGGCAGTGTTGAGCTGTTGCATCTGCTGCGCCAGCTGCTGCTGGAGGCGCCTTTGCTCTTTGTCCTTCTGAGTGTCCGCGAACTTGACTACGATGGGTGAGGAGCAGCCCTGTGGTCAGACACAGCGGAAAGTGAAGAGGGGGTTACCGCCTGGCGGAAGCCTCTCGTGACACTCAGCACCGGGTCTAGCTTTCTCCACTATCGTGGAGCACACGGAACGGTCTGGAATGGTTTTAAAACGGTTTGATATTCCTTCTTCTTCTCTGACCAGTACCATCAACAGAAAATTCCAGATACTGTCACTGGTTTCTCTGGGGATCTGGTGGTCGGTGCAGCCATTTGCTTTCTTGCTCTGATTATTAAACTGCCTCTCCTCCTCTCTTCGTGTGTCTTCCTCCAACCTTTCCGGGACCTCCTCAGAGACAAGACACCTTATCAACGTTCTTTAATTAAGCTTCGTGCTCCGCTCGTCTGACAGACAGAGTCGTCTGTGTGTCTGCCTGTTTCCACACGTGAGCAGGGGACAAAGAAGGAGAGATGCCATAATGGGGACGAAAACGTCCCTCGCTCATGTATCTTGTTCACTCTTTCCCATTTTCAGTGATGCATTTTTGAACTCAGGAGCGCGGGGATCTTCCCGACTGGGCACTATCGGTGGGGAGAAGTGGATTGTTTTAGGAATGTGGATGAGGGAAGGAGAGAGAGAACGCAGGCCCCGACCAACCTAACTGTGGTGTTTGCAGACGGGCCTCCCTTCCTTCTCTAACGCATCTCCTCTCTCCACCCTGCCTGGGGCTACCACAAACCACCAGCCTCAGAAGCATATTCTAGCAAGAGGAGCTGGATCTGAAATGGCAGGAGGCGCCGACTTGGCTTTTTGTCTCACTGGACCTCACCATTCTAGACGCTTTTCAGTTTTCATTGCCTTTAAAAGGCAAGGAGTAGGGGCAGTGCGTGAGGGAATGGCTCAGGGTTCTAGAATAGGATGAATTCATGTCATGTTTGAAGTGGCTAAGATCATCTGGGAAAATAATGGCCTCCAGCATGAAGACTTCCTTCCCAGAACACCTCTGAGACTTTGGCCACCGTTCTGCAGAGACACGAGCTCCTCCCTCCCTCTCCCTCTTACCATGGCTTGCCTACACGTCTCCTCACCATTAAAGTCCTTTACACTTTGCTGAGGTACAAAGAAATAATTCTACCCAGCTGATTAAAAAAAAAAAAACAACTTTTGTTGAAACTCAGCATGATAACAGACTTCTTTCTCCCCTCTCAGAAATTCTATGTTCCTATTTAAACGAGCTCTTTCCCTTTCCTTTGGGTCATTTTTCTCTCTCCTCGAAAACAAACCTGTGTGCCTTCCCGCCCCCCCCCCCCCCCCATCACCTTGGGTAGTTACTGGGGGTGTAGCTGTGAAGGTGGGAGGCTAGCGGGTCTGGTATTACCAAAACAACGTGAGAAAAATGAGGTGGCTGTTTCAGTGGTCAACCTCCAGCGAGCGTATCGGTCTTCAGCTCTTGAGCCACGGTCACAGGACACAATGTTAAATGTCAACCACACAAAAATAATATTTCCACCTTTAAAAAAAATCTATACTTCATTTTTCTTCTTCTGCTCCATATTTCAGTACTTCCACTTTAAAGTGAGCAAAATACTCTCAAGATGGTGATTATACAGAGGGAGGGTTTTGTATGGAAAGGGTTGTTACTGCTGTATCAAATTTGTTCCATAACAAATGACAGCATCTCCTCCTAACAGGACATTTACTGTTGTGTTTTTCTTCCTTAAATACAAAAAAAAAATGATATAAAAGCAAAAAATTAGGCCCAAAAGAACTTGTTTAAGCCATAAAAAGGAAAAATGGGCTGGGCATAGATCGGAGGAAAGTGGAAAAATAGAAGGTACGATATAAAAATTAATTATTCTTAAGAACATGTTCGTTTAAACCTTAACATTCAAATCATTTTGAATTCAAATTTCTTAGATTACACATCTTGGTTAAAGATGTGAGCCAGAGTCCTGAAAATAACAAAATTAGTTAAAAAAAAAAAAAAAACCAAACAAACAAAAAAAACCCCTGATGAACTTCAGTTGGACAACTATAACGTGACTGCATAATATATAATCTTCTATTTCAGTATTTTTCAATTCAACAAGACATTTAAATGTCTGAGGCCCCTCTGTTTGAGCATGGGTGTTCAGAATGAAAAACAAATGTACCAAATTTGATTTTAAATTGTAATAGAGACGTTAATAACCAAAGGATCAAGGATTTCTTAGAATATGCCCCATTCTCCATAGCAGATTCTTTTCATTCTGAGCCTATTCTTCCTTAGTTCGGGTTCATACCCAGGTCTGAGCTACGTTCCCGAACTTTCTCCCTGTAGGAACACAGGAGAACACAGGCCAGCATCCTCTGTAGCTGTACTCAGGGGCCCAGATGAAGGCACTTGGGTTAGAGCTGAAAGAATGTAGGTTAAAAAATCATCTAAGGTACAAATCACTAAGTTACAGGAAATAAAATAATTATGAATGAAGCACATGTATGGAAGATAGTAAATACAGGTGAAGACTTTTTTTTTTCCCTAATGGTACTTTCATTTTTCTCTCCAAACTGAAATGTAGCTGGGATTCAGACTGATCCCCAATAATGGAACAGCCGAAGAGAAAGTGGGGGACAAACACAGCATCAACCTGTGACTGCGTGTCGTACAAGACTGCATCCCTAGGAATTTCAAAGTCCTGCTAATTATCTCCTATTGTGGCCGATTTTCACCTGAGCTTGCCTTCAGGTAGGGGGGTGTGAGTATCTTAAAAATGCATTGCACTGAAAGGAAAACACAGTGATTATATAAAATATGTTAGGAATATCAAAGTCAAAATGAAGCTCGAAAAAGACAATAGGCTTTGCAATGCTGATATCAAAACTCAGAAAAGTACAGTGAACACTTAATGACAAGGCCATGCACACTCTTGCCCCCCTTGTCCACCCACCTTTCGGCTCACTATAAAAAAAGTTGCCCACAAAACATGACGCAGAATGATCACTTAGCTCCCAGCATGCTTTGGGAGATGCAGCATTGCAAAAAACGAACAAAACAAACAAATAAAAAATAACCCCTCCCCCAAAAATGGAGGTAAAAAAGAAGCGCAAACAATCCATAAAGAAATTTTTGCACATTAAATCAAATCGAAAATATTCTGCTTTTCGGAAGATGAAAACGTAACTTCAGGTAACGCCACAGGGCCACCTCTGGAACAGATCACCCATACACAGAGGCACGGTATACAAGTACGGCAGAACATGCATTCCCAAATGGTTCTATCAGACAATACCGAGTAAGTAACAGCATATCACTCTTGGAATGCTTTTGTGCAAAGTTCTGAAAGGCCAGACTCAAATCACAGGCTAGACAGAGCTGTCTCTCTACGTTTGTGGGTGAACACCCGCATCAGCGTATTTATCTTCCCCCAAAGCCACTATCTCTCATTAGGAGACCAAATTTGAGCCTTTATGTTTCTTTTACTGCACATTTTTTAGTAAAAAGACAAATCTCGTTTTTTAAGGAATTCTCAAACGTTAATATTTTCACTGGTTAAACAATGTAGGAGAAGTATTAATTTTCTCCCAACATTCTTGATGCAAAAGCACAATTCTGTTGGACTGAAGAGAACATGACCCCGTATTTAAAAAAAGAAAAAAGAAAAAAAAGAGAGAGAGGAAAAAAAAAAAAGAAAAAAAAAAAAAGAACCCTGTGATGGACACAGGGCAGGCTGCAATTTGGAGTGAGGGCTGTTAAGGTTTACTCCATACCAACCTTGGACCAGGAACAGATTCGATCCTTTAGAGATCGAGAATGATTCTTGGTTTCAATTGCATCGTGACACTACGTTGCAGGGCCTGGGCCACTGCAATAAAAGGCTCAAAAAATAATGTACAGCAAGTGGAAGGTTTTACTAAATGCATTTCAAGTCATTAGGGGAAAAATTCAGAGAGAGAGAGAAGAGAGCGAGAGAGGATGAGAGAGAGAGCGAGCGAGAGAGAGAGAGAGAGAGAGAGAGGATGAATATGAATGAATGAAGAGATAGTGCAAGTGTCAATCCGTGATTGTCACGTGAACAATCCGCGCAGGAGAGAGCTGCTTTATCATTCCCCATCATTTGCACAAAGAAAACAAAGAAAGGGCAGATGATACAGTACCTCCATGGTCTGAGACTGATGCATGGCTTTGATTGCATTCTGTGCCATTGCCCTTGTAGAAAATGTGACAAACGCACAGCCTGTGGGGAACAAGGGGACAGGGAGCAGGAAAGACAAAAAACAACAAGACAAAAGGGTTGGACGCTTGTTAAACCAACACAGTCTACGAGAACTGCCACAGGACGACACTGTTCTCAGTAGTACATAAAAATCAACAACTTCTCTCTTGGCTTTATCTTAGTTGGCTTTTTACTCACAGTGCGGACTTGCTAATCTGACCGAAGCAGAAAGATTTATTTATTGACTAGTTTCTTTTTTAAAATGGAGATGAGGGGAAAGCAGTTAGGTACTTTTATTTTTCTTTTTTT